GACAGTTGTTCCAGAGCTGATCTTGGCATCTCCGGTTCCTACTTCAATACCCAATACCCTGGGAAGTCCGCTATCTCAGCAAGTTGCTCCACGTCTCCCGTCCCCGCCACCATCATCTCCGTGAGCGTGGGCGTCGCAGAACTCAACCCTCGTGGACTTACTTCCCTCTCAATTCCGCCTACAAGAACTTCGTCGCGTTCAGGTGGGCCGTAGTTTCGCGGAAAGACCATCGAATGAAGGGCCATCGATGAGCTCAACGCCCCGACTTTTGCAGTTTGCCTATTCATCCTCATCCCTATGCAGTATTCCGAACGACGAGGACGAGGACGAGGAAGAGGCTGTGATAACTTCGAGCTGCTCCCCTCTCATAGTCTCAGCAAGAATACGACTCCCGAGTTGAAGAAGGAGATCATGGTTTTGGTAGGATTCAGCAGGGCGAGCATAGCGCGGAGAAGAATTGTTTGAATGAGCTTGAAATGGAGGGACAAGACTAAGGATGGGACGAGGAGAACGTCAACAACCTGTTTGCTTCACCCACGCCAGAATTTGACGCTTCTCTAGAGCAGGGAGGGGGCCGGACGTTTCTGTTCTGTATGACGACAGACCAGCATCTTCCGCATCATAGGTCTATCAGTCAATCTTCCCTTCCAACTCCTTCATCTTTTCATCCAACCAGCAAGATTTGGAACGTCGCCCAACAGCACAACCTTGTCAGTCAAGTAACTTTTCTCTTCGAATCCCCTCCGTTGCTTCTCCACTTCCTCCTCATGCTTCTCAACGTACCACTGCAAGTTCCGAAAAATCTCGCCAGATACATGTTACACCCAAACCACCTCATATATCTCAAGAGGCTATATATACATCTTCCCCCAAACCTCAGCCGGAAGTAAAGGATGAGAGCCATCATTGGCTTTGCCTTACTCAGTCGCTGTCGCAGCTAATTGATGAAGAAGGCGATAGCAGCATTCGCGCCCGTGGATTTGAAGCCCGTTACGATAGCGACGATGCGGAGATCGTTCCGGTTCAAAAACGCAAGATCACCGCAGGTCACTCTGAAGCTATGAAAAAAAAGATTGAGCTTAGAGGGACTGTGAAGACACTTCTGTCCAAGCCACGAGATAGCGCCGCCGCTAACAAGGTAGTGAGAAAGAAAAGAAAAGTGACGGTGGACAATGAGGATGAGGAGCCGCCGCTGAAGCGCGCCAAGGACAGGTTGACGATGAAAAGAAGGGGAAGGGGGCGAAGAAAGATTGTTCTACTGCATCTCACGTTGAAGCAAGAACAAAAGCCGAAGAAGAAAAGGGTAGGTGGAGTCGATGGATAGGGCTTGGTCGCCTTCTGCTTCAGGGCAACGAGGTCCCGGAGGGGGAAACGGAGGGTTAGGCGGCCAGCAATGAATGAGCTCTTATTGTTCCCCGCGTCTGTTCCTCATCTGATTCATCTCTGGACCTGATTAGTTCATCAAATGCGACTTGTAGGTGTTTCTTGACGACGTTTCATACTCGTTTTATGTCTAACATTAATGAAGATGCTTCGCCTGGTTCACTACGGCTGCGTCGGCATCACTCTAACGGACACAAGGCTCAATCCTACAGAAATGTTCTTTTGTCCTCCTTGTGACACCAATGGAAGGTCCTTCCTCATCCTTTTCTTATCTGAGCCCTCATTCACAAAATCTTGCTTGATAGTTCTCGCAAGTCTCGTTAATGGTGACTTGCTATGGTCTTTGATTGTTTATGATTGCCAAGGAAACCCGCCGGGGATCTTGAAACGACTTTCCGTGGACAGCCAGATTGCGATCACGGAGCACCTGCAAATGAATACTTTGTGGTTGACATTGTTGGGAGGAAAATAATTATGACAGGTGGACATGGTCGGCTATCGAAATGGTTGGTCAAGTGGGACAGGCAAGTACTTTTCATACTACTTGTCCGCATTGCAGGCTGACGCTGCCTCACAGTTACCCGATAAATCAGTGTGCTTGGGTGTATGAGAATGCAATGGCCGACCCGCAGAAATTGATCGAAGAAGTAGAGGAGGCTGCCACGAAGGAGGGGATTGATCTTACCCGAGAATGTTGTTGTGGGAAGTGATTGAGGGGGGTTGGTCACATCGATTTTTGAGCAGGTCTTGTCATTATGAACTCTCCGTAAATTTGAAGCATATTTGTAAGGGTAATGTAAGGTTGTAAGTAAATAGTTTAGGGATGAAAGTAACGACGCTCAGTGTGTGACTCTTGTGTGACTCACCTTCAATTGCTCCTTCGTGAACTAACCGCAATCTTGGCTAGGAACCGCAGCCCAACCAATACAGCGATGCCTGAACAGAGCGCCAGCTACTATGAAGGCCGAATCATGGCTATGTCTAAGTTGTTGAACAAGGTCTCTCGGCAGGCCGCACTTTCCTCCCCAGGACCTGCTGAAACAGCAGAGTCTCAGGCATATTATCACATTTCGACGCTCCTGACCCGAGGCTCCGATGACGGCGGATATGCACGGAATGTAATCGCTGTCACTGGCGTCCAACGGCTGGTAGACGCAGCTGCTTCCGAACCTGACTCGGACAAGGCGCCTATACTCGCTTCCGAACTCGACTTGAACAAGTCGCCTGCACTCCCATCCTCACCCGACATTGACACTAGCCTTGTCAAGATCCACATCACTATTTCTCAAAACCAATCCCTTCAAACATCTCCCGACCACACTATTGTACGTATAGAGCCTTCGCAAACCCCACTTTCCACAACTCTTGGAACCATGTACGTCATATTGTTTGTTTGAAGCACGGCGTGCCATTGCTAAAGTCCCCACTAAATCCATCTAGAAACCACAATACAAAAGTCTCCCTGGAGAAGCATGCTGCTGACATCTTCGGGGCACTTATTTCAACCTCGAAACTCCATCGAACCACAGACAGCAAGGAATACAATAAAATGAGTTACCTTTCCCTCTCATTGATTATTGAGCGATCTTTCCCAAAAATACAAAAGAGAGTAGAATCGTTGCGATTTCTGTTCAAGCCAGAAATTTTGGAGATGTTGATCAAAGAGGACCTGGAGCTATCCGGAGATCTTGTGGTCATTCCACCAAAGCAGGTTCGGGTATGCCATACAGCTGAACACTGTTATGTCGAAGTTGGTGCCTGGGTGGAAGCCACTTTTGCATCTAGCAATGTTCCGTGTGAAAACCGTGATGGTACCCTCTATTTCCTCTTCCACAGCAGCTCAGCAACCCAATGGATCCGAGCCCTCATCTCAGTCTATCGCTCTGTCAAGGCCTCAACACAGAAGTGCCCAAGCAATGATTCAGAGTGGCATGATCTTTACACCCAGCTGGCGCAGCTGCACCACATCGTTTATGTCCTTGGCTCCTACTACGATGCCATCCTGACCCTTCCAGGCTTGGTCAAATTTCTCAAGGATAACGTCAATGTAGGATATGCAATCAATGATATACGTAACCACACTAATGATATACGTAAGCACCTTTTTGCAAGGATGGTTTTGGATTAACCTATCTGTGCATGCAGATGATGACAACGAGTCTGATGACAGATCCGATGCCCTCTCTGACATCGGTGTTGATGACCATGAAGATGCTGGAAAAATTTTGATGCGATATTTCCGTGCAATTGTGGCTTGGAATCAGGCCTATGCATGGCTAGACTCTTCCAAACTCTTCAGGTCATCGAAAGGGATTATGTCCTTAAACATTGTCAAGATGCAGGTTGTAGGAACCTGTTAAAGGAGTGACGCTGATTCGCGTGGTCCAAGTAACAACGACGAAGTGAATCTGGCGAGTTTCTAGATAAAGGTTGCTACACTGGTGTGTAGACTTCTAACGAGAATCTAATTGGAGGAGAGAATCAATCTCTTTACGCGAGTAGTTACTTATGCTCTGGAAAGCCACGAGCGTAAACGTACTCTCCTTTCTCGGAAAGCCGCAGAAAGGTGTGAAAAGATGATCTGCGGATAATGGGGAAGGAGGAAGAAGAAGGTTCAACTTCAAGGGAGTCACGAGCTCCCTACTACAAATAACTATGCTACTGACCTCGTTAGTATATCCCTGTTACGCGTGTAGTCGAGTCGTGAAGACGATGCTCGAAGGCTGCAAGCGAGTGCAAGATGTATGAATAAGAAGATAGAATTTACTACATGTGTAACTGCGAAAATTGTAACCAAGTGTGACTACTGTGACCACGTGACAATTGAAGCGGAATACGTTAAGTTGGGAATATACCAGTAAAGATGGATGAAGGGATCGATCCGTAGTCCTACCCGTTACAGAGCCCCCCTATTCCCCACTTGACGTGGCCGGTACTCTTCGGGCAACTTGATATCCATCAAGCGACGCTTGTTCCAGTCCACGAGAAAGCCGTCGATGATCTTGGAATGTAAACGAGTTAACATGGCTGGGACTACTTGGTTGAGGCGTTCCCGCGATCCCCTGTGGCCTCGGTTCAATCGACGGAAGTAATCGTTCCACATCCCGGGGGTCCTGAACTTTGCGGAGCCCTGCAGGATTTCCTTTGTAATGTCGTTGAACATGTTATCCATGCGGCTGTCCCACTCCCCAGTCCAGAAGAAACAGCCTTCATCTAGAATGTCCTTCGAGGGATACAGGGACTTGTCACGGTCGCTGTCACTGCGAATGCAGCCAAAAAGGATGTCGATTTCTTGGGGGGACATTTTGTCAGTGTATAGGAACATGGGGTGCTCGTCGTCTGAGTCGATGTATCCGCGTCGGTGGAGATAGACATCTGGGGAAGGGCCCTCCATGAATTGCGTGACAAGTTCCATTCCGCCCCATTTCCGACCCAACCAGGCTATAGGGCCTCCCATACCAACTAAGATTCTGGCATGCGGCCTTCGTATGATATCGTTCACACGACTCATATAATAAGCGCGTAAGGCTCCCTGCGCAGTATAGGCGAATGGTGCTTCGATCGTCGATGACGGCTTCCCTACTAGACGGTCGATGTCAGAGACCTCCTCTGGTTTGAATTTCCCAAAGTCTTTGACTTTGACTCCAATGGTGAGTGGTAACCCGTGACAGACCGCTTTGAACAAAAGAGCTGGCATCGAGGGAGTATCTGGGGAACAAGTGGCCCAGAACCGTAGTCGAGCTTGTGCGCGAATATCAGGTATGAGAAGATAACCGACGTCGAGGTAATCCGGGTTCCAAGCTAGGGGCCGCTTACTGGTCCAAGGGTCCACTGCGCTGATATATTGACCCGCTAGGTCGCGTAACTCCTCAATGTATACTGCTCGTTGATTGGGCAACGTAGGTTGACCACGACGTGGCGAGGCTGACCGTCTATGAAAATCTTGGTCGCCTGAACTTCGAAATTGACGCGCTGCTGAGGATGCCCTGGAGCCGGAGTGACTGGATGGAGCGGACATCGCTTGTGTCCATCGGGAAGCGATTGTGACCGGAGAAGCTGGTTGTGGTATGACGAGCAGAGGATGAGCTGCGGGTACCCAATGCGGACGTGGAAGGGGT